CGGCTTAGCCCCTGGCCTTGAGCCGAATCGACTGCTGCCACAAGATAGGGGGGCTGATTGAGTTTCTTCAATGGTAAAATGTACCAGCAAAGCATGTCCAGTCCACAGGAGAAGGCGTTGCAAGCGTGTTTCAACGTGTTCCCCTCTCTGCATGGGAATCCTATGGTGGCAGTCGAGGTAAACAAACCGGGCGTCGGCTTGACGGCAACGACTGAGATGAGCTGAGGGAGAAACTGCTCTTCAGCTGCTTCATTCCCTGCCACACAATGGTCGGATTATGTTCCAGCTGCATGTCACCTTGCGGTTGTCATCGTGTGAACCACCAGCGTCATCCGCTGTGTGTCGAATCTTGCTGCCAACAAGAAAAGCAACTGACCGTCCATGAACTGACACTGGGCCTGCCAGATCCACACCAGGCCTCAAGTCAGTCAAGCCAAATGGTTCGGAACTCAAAAACTATTCAAGAGACTATCCGTACAAACAATCGTCAAATGTTGACCCATCTTCATTGTTTGACTGAGGTAATTGAAAGACAGCTAGCAGCTAGCATAGCCAAATAAAAGCTCGCACAACACACAGCAAAGCATCATACTCCTCAGCGTGCTGGACAGCAAGTACTTGTGTAAGATTTGGTGGACTGTTCGCTGCATAGAAGCAACACACATCAACAGCACAGCACCGGTGATGCCCGAACTGAGTCCGGAAATCAGAAAGCATATATATATAGATAGATTGACCATTCAGTTTGAGTTTGAGAGAATATACAGCGGTCGCAGGGTGTGGAAGACTCTGGAATGTCGGGGTGACCATGAGACTCCCACGACTGCTAGGTAGCAAAGTCCACTTAATTTATGTGCTCAGTTTAAATTCAGCTGTCAAGTCTTGTCTGCAATGTATGTACTATCAGCTAGCGGTGCGCTATCTATTACATGGCAAAGTGCTGCAAAGTGTGTCCGCCAAGTCTATCAAACGATCTTTGATCGATGCTGAGGTGTAGGCCCTCTTGGCCCTCCCGTCATAGCAAATAATTAGAGCAAATGCCGGAGGGCGTGAGCCCCACCCTTTGGAGCGCCCGCAGGTGGGGCTCTGTGTCTGTCTTGTCTGCCTCCTGTCTGAGATGGAATACTGCATGGATGCATGCCGCCAGTGTTGAAGGTTTGACATTCCCCCAAATCGGGGAAAAAGGGGTCAACTCTAGGAGTACTTTGATTCATCTTGGAATGTCCTGATAGTATGCAGACCGGTCAACATGCCGACCGTTTGAGTGCTACAGGACCTCCAACTTTGTTCTTGTCAGCTGAGCCAATATGGCAAGGTCTGGAACCCACACATGCAGGCAAAGCGATAGGTCAATTCCGTTGCCCTCGCCTTTTTCAGCAGTTTACTCCTGCTACGGCTACAGCAAGAAAGGGCAAAATGAATGTTATTCTCTACCAACAAAAGAAAAATAACAACATATAACAACCCCTTCACGGATCATCACTTCATTTTACCGCCCACCACGCAGAATTGGTGCACGAATTAATTTGAGTCAACTTCCTTCCTGGACCGAAGAAATTGTGGTCTGCTTTGTCGAAAAATGCTGTGTTCACGTATTTGTTTGGTCTTTCAGCATTTCATCGTTCCATAGAGCTTCAATACTGTTCAATCTGCATCTCCCATGATCTGACGTTCTTGCGCTTGCTTCAGCCACAGTTGCCACTTGCGGCATACTGCCTTTACTGCCAATCCAATTGACGGTGTACTCTTGATATAGTTGCTTTCAATGTCCAGGTGCAAAAGTATGGAGCTGAGGTCCGTTTGGGAGAGCCATTGAAATGAATGCCCTTGAACACTGAAAAACCTGCAGAACCTGAGACCATGCAGCAATGCATGTGCTGCACATTTATCTGGCAAGCATGGAAACTACAAACTTCATTGAAAATGCACTTTCAACCAAAGGTGGATATTTGAGTAAATGAACCCCTGGAGTTGACTGAATTGAAACTACTGAGTTCAGGAAAGGAAGCCCTGCATTTAATTTTCAAGGCTATTTGGCAGCTAAAGCCGGATTGCGTTGAGACCAGAGTCGGGCGATACCAACAACTTTTGTTCGAAGCATAACGAGAGGGATCAAAATCAACGTCTCAACACTGAGGGATCAAGATTGTACCTGAAGCCAATTCGAAGCGAATCCGACTCTGGTTCCCTCTCAGCATCAGAATCGTCATTTACAGCGCTTTCTCGCTCCTGCCTTTCACCTGCCAAATTTCAGCAGTGTACAAACACGCGCGTCTGGTGGAATTAGTGCCCAACCAAATCCACCCGCGGCAGCTGCAGTACCAAGTTTTTGGACTTGTCTCTCCTTCATGAATCGCCTATGTAGCCTGGCAACTGACTACTTCAAGATCTTTGCAAGGCTTTTCTACGGGCAATGCCGCAACGCCTCATAAGGCTTCACCGCGCCCCGCGCAGTGAGAGCAAGCAGCGTTTGACCGAGTTGAGGCGGCCGTCCACCTGACAATCCAGGGCTGTCCGTCAACATGTCACGGCTCATCCAAACTGAGATACGAACAACTGTAGCCCAAACAAACTGGTCATGAACCTTCATGATCCTCATTCATTGTAAAATGCTTGCAAGACAAAGACTGCTCCCTTGAACTTCTGTGACCAGTGTGACCACAAGCTTAGCACCGCCGCACAGTGCCGCACACCTCTTTCACAGCCTCGTAAAGTTCTCGATGTCTGGCCTGCCGGTGTGATACAAAGAACTCCACTTAATGTGTGGCGCAAAATAAAATACTCATCTCAATGTGTGCTTCTCATGGACGTCACTACTCCTTGCGCAAGGAGACCGAAAATCTGTTTCAAAAAAATTGGCTAAAGTTTCGTTTCTTCTTTTTGGGTAGGCCTTGAAAAGGTCCAGTAGTTATATAAAAGGTCAGTTTAGCATGACAGTATGACAGGAAGCTAGCAGGGACCGGACGCAGAAAAGCTCAGTTCTTCGCATGATTGATTTGGTTCCTAGGTTCTTAGGGAAACTTGATTCATGGTCCTTCGGATGATGCGTATGTAACATGTAGCCTTCCTCCAACAATTGAGTAGTCACATAGTCATAGTCATGGGCACAATTGGACCCTGACTTTGGAGACACCAACATGGACCGACGCCTCAAGCACACGGCGTTGTTCGTCGCTGAAGTCAATGCCGTTCATGGCCTCACATGTTCAGGGCATGGCACTGGCATCTTGGCCAGTCTCTATCCCTCCAATGAGTTGAGTAGAATGAGTAGAATAGATCTTCATCACTTATAATATAGAAAATATAATGACAAGCCAAGGCCAAAACGAAACAGACTTTCTGCCTCATCCACCTCTCGTCGGCAGAGCGTTGTCAGCGACGCATCCGCAAAAGCATAGGCCTGCGTCGCCAAGATACCTGTTCAACGGGCTTCCAATGAGAATTTGCATTCATCACGAATGTAGAATCCCTTCGAGGCACAAAACTTCAAGACAGCAGTCGAATAATCCTCACCCTCAAGTGGGTGATGCGATCAGACTGAAATACTTGACACTTCAGCATACTTCAGCATCACCGATCGAAAGGAAGCCCGTATGCACAGCATGGTGCCTGCCAAACTGGCAAAGGCTCTTTGGAGCCGTACCGCCACCAGCGGCGCAGCGGATTTCACCTCTTTGGGCTCGAAGACCCGGTCCTGCAGCTTGCCCGCAAGGCCGCAGTCACCGGCCCGGCGGCGCATCTCCTTCAGCACGCGATCCTTGGCCTAGCGAGGCGCAACGTGAAATCGAAATGTATCACACTACAGTATTGCACTCACGTGCTATTGATTGGTTACGGTGTATATATATACTGCACAATATGGGTTAATCTATATTATGTATATTGTATACAAGATTGGTTGCATGTATTTCACACCCTTGAAATGAATCGCTTTTGCTTGCGTGTGTGCGTGCGTGTCTCTTTTTTCGTTTTTGGCCGGAGCTACACAGATCTTTCTTTCACTGCTCTTTGGAAGTCAATGGCAGTCCGCCAGCAGCTTGTGCTGCAAATGGAAGGGGCAATGCAAGCTAAGTGCAAACGCGGAAGTTCAAGGGCCATACTCAGTGTGTGGCATCATGAGCAAGGACGCTACTAGGGGCTCCTGGCCTTACTACTAGGAACAAGGACGCTACTAGGGGCTCCTGGCATCGCTACTAGGAGCAAGGACGCTAGTAGCTCCTGGCCTTACTACTAGGAGCAAGAAGCTACTAGGAGCAAGGGCATCACTGCTAGTAACATTCTTGCTACTTGTCTCTGATATGTCCCACCCTCCCACCACCCTCCCAGCTCCTGAGCTCTCTGTCCCTGTGGTCTTCCACTGGATGGTCCAGTGACGTCCGCTTCTTTGGCATCGACCTCCGAAGGGGACCATTGGCGACAACCGGTGTGAACTTCGGGAATCTCAGTGGCCCAAACTGGTGAACCTAGTAGATTCCTTTGCTAGTAATTACAATTGTTACTACTAGTAAGGGACTTGTTACTAGTAGCGATGCACTTGTTACTAGTAGATTCCTTTGCTAGTAATTACAATTGTTACTACTAGTAAGGCACTTGTTACTAGTAGCTTCTTGTTACTACTAGTAAGGCACTTGTTACTAGTAGCGATGCACTTGTTACTAGTAGCGATGCACTTGTTACTAGTAGCGATGCACTTGTTACTAGTAGCGATGCACTTGTTACTAGTAGCTTCCTGTCTCCTCATATTGACACAGGCACATGCTCAGGATCATCCAGAATGCACGCGAATTGAGTAATTGAATACAGTGAATACAGTGTGTGATTCTGTATGATTTTTGTATGAGCCAAGGGTTGGCAACCGACCTTTGCAGAGGTCACACACCAAGTTTGCTTGACAGTTCAGAAACCTGTGACTTCAACACTTCATCTGTAGACTCGGTAGACAACATGTCAAGTATTGACGTTCTTCCGCACCTCCTTAGGCGCCTCCTTGTTGAGGCCTTTCAAGTCCAGCTCTGTTTCGGTTTGCGGCCTGGCACCAGGGTGATTGGAATGGGAAAGGTCAATGGCAGAACATAAGAATACAGTATACAATACAGTAAACAAAATGAGATTGACACAAGTGTAAGTCTAAGGTAGTACATGCTATTGCCGAGGTTCCCTCTTATCCAGCTGTGTAAATATTTTATAATCCCCCTGCCCTGCCACGTAATGCTAAGGCCATCATTCCAGTATTGTTGGCAATTTGTTCGTAGTTCAGCTCCAGCAGTTCTTCTTCGCCTTTGGAACCCCAAACTAACCACCCTGCACCTCAACATGAGCTCAGGATTGATGCACGCTGCAGTCAATGTGCCGGTAAGATTCTTCATCAGCTGCTCCCCTTGCCAAAGCGCTTGACGTGGTGGCAGGGAGTATTAAGTATGTTTAATTGGCTCGAATCCTTGGTGTCTAGTTCGACATTGAGCCAGAATTTCGATGAATTTGTGGTAAATTCTTGGGACATGCTTTGGGTTCTACACGGACCGAAGTTCAGTCCAGCAAAAGGAACATGATCAACAAGTGCCAACTCGTTGTTCTTCTGCGAAGAGCCGCACTTCTTTAGGCCCAAGGTCCCAATCACCCTGTGGCTCCCCAGAGGCAGGACATGGACACTACTAGGGCTCCTGGCCTTACTACTAGGAGCAAGGACGCTACTAGGAGCAAAGGGCATCGCTACTAGGGCAAGAAGCTATTAATAGCGACCTTCCAAGATGGTCCCGGGGCCTACAGCTCCAACTGCGCCATCATAGGCATCGTAGACCAAATCACGGACAATCGGAGAGGAGCGCATGACGGTGAGGTGCTGAGTGAAGAGCGGGGAAGAGATCCTCACAGTAAAGAGCGCATTGTATGCAATCGCCCTGCAAAATGCCTACTCTTTGGTGGAACTAAATAAATAAAAATGGCATCACGACTGGTATGGCATCACGACTGCTGGGGAGCGGCCGGTCATCTGCTGACTTAGAGGTGCTCCATGGCGCGGGGAGCCATCAAATTTTCCTGATGGGGCCTTCAGTGGTCCGAGACTGGCCACGTGGCTTCAAACCTCCTAGATTAGAGTCCTAGAGTACACCTCCTATAATAAAGAAGCTGTGTGCTGAACAACTCAAAAGGGATTCAACAAAACGCTCGTGATGCTCCACTCCTGGCACCAGGCCCCTCAGCCAGGAAGGACATCCACTCAGAGACGGCTAACTTTTGGTGCCGCAAGAGCCAAATCACCTGCCGTGGAGTGGAAAAAGCTCATGGCTGTCTGGCTTCCAACAGCCAAGCCTACAGTTTTGTACAAAAGTCTATCAACATCTTGATATCTTCTTGAAACTACACCTCCTGTAAAAGGACACACTACTCACTACCCAACCCCCATGTTTAAAAAAAGAAACACTTACGGGTCCCCACACCCTCGCGGCCACATAGCGGAGGCGTTGCAAGAGCGGCTCAAAGGCAAAAGTCAACATCAGCTTGGAGGACACGTCCTTCGCACTGACAGGTCAGCAATCTGAAGGTCCCAATTCGTGAGGTATGTAGATCTGACTTGCCAGCCTTTGCACTCCCTTTACAGAAACTGGGCGAATGCATTGCTAGGGCAATCTATATAGGGCCCTTTGGCCCTTTTGCAAACCAAATAAACAACTGAGAGGTTTGGCGGAATTTCCCTCCTCCCAGCGCTGATGACCATGGACACCAGTACCTGACAAGGGAGTCGAGACTGGTCTCCCTTCTCCGGATATCCAATCCTTGAATCTGTTGATGATTTATATCCCTTTGCAACTGAAAAATGTATAATATGTGTATATATCTATATTATATATATGGGTGTGGATCAAAACCCAGACCCTGGGTTCCTGGTAGGTTGACCTCCCTGGTCGTCTATTCTGTTCATTGTCGGTGGTCAACCAAGGTATCCTGGTTTTGACCCACAGCCATATAACGCTACTCAACTGGACTGCACAAGAAACAAGTGATACAACACACGTACAGAAAATCCCTTGCAAGCTGTCAAACATGTCAAACCTTTGTTGGCGGGTATGTAACAGCCTCCTGCACAAATGGCTGCAACGGCGATGTTCTTGATGGAGTCCTGCAAGGGCAAAAGTTCTCACATGGGTGATGTGCTTGGAGCAAGGGAATGGAAGTTGGAGGGATTGTCACCAAAGTGCGTGAGTGTGACTGCAAACATGTGCTCCTCTGGTGGATGAGCAAGGCGCACTGCCACTTCAACCTCTGCCAAGAGCCGCCGCCAGCTGGCCCCACCGTTCAAAGCCACGTCTGAGCCGGGAATCCTCAGCATTTAGTTTCAGGCTCTAACATCGTCACCCACCATATAATATACCATTATATACCTACTACTGATCAATCATTCGGGTTGTCTTCTCTCAAATCCCGATGTAGAGAGGCGCAGCCATATAAGAGGGTCACTGAAGAGACCTCCAATGTCTTGCGAATATATATATATATTATTGTATTTTTACATACGTATATATGATTATATATATATATATACAAGCTATAAGAAATTGACATCAATGCTCATCTGAGCATGCCAGACACACTTTGTAATCACAAGCAATAGCCTCACACCTCGAAAGTCCGGCGCAGCAAAATGCCTGCGGAACCGATCATGTATCCAACCTTTCCATTCTGGAAAAACTTCACATTGTACAAGTTGCAGGGCAAATCCTTCGCAGATGGATCGAAACTCCACGTCTTTCCGCCATCTTTGGTGAAATAAATCACTCCACTGCCTCCAGTGGCGTATCCCTCTGTGGGTGTTCGGAATCCAATGTCGATGATGCCAATGCCACCAGAGCGAATCTTTGCAAGCTGAAAGAGCTCCTTGGTGTCTGAGCCCAAGTCCATGAAGCCTTCCTTCTCGCAGGTCGTCAGCACACCGCCGTTGAGACTCATCCATGCTCCTTCCGTCTTCTCACCATCTGCAGGATCTCTGAATCCCATACCCTGAATCCGTCTGGCCGAGATACGGTTATGAGGAAGCCAACGCTCGTCACCTGGAGAGAAGCTCAAGTAGAAATTCCCACGCTGTGCCACGGCCAGGTACCGTCCAGCAGCATTACGCTTAATGGCCTTGACACTACCTGTGAAGTAGCTGCCTCCAGAAACACCGCTGGCCGATACACGGTTCAGCGTGGCATCAATGGTCTCTGAGACTTGTGACCTCCAGTTCTTACCATCGTTGTCAGTGACATAGATGGCTCCACTATTGGTGGCCATCTCTGCCTTCCCAGGGCCCAAGGACACGATGATCTTAGGTTCTCCAGGAAGCTTGCGGGACACTGGGACTTTTTTCCAACTCTTTCCGCCATCCTTGGAGTGGAGGAGAAGCGGAGGCTTGCCGACAATCCAAACCTCATCACCATTTACTGAGACAGTCTGAAATCGGTAGCTAATGTCTTCTCCCTTGCCCAAGTTTGCAAACGAACGAGACACCCATCTCTCACCCCCGTCTTTGGTCTCGTAGAAGAGTGCCCTCGCTCCAACAATGAATCCATGGTTAGGATCGTTCTCATCAAAGTCGACATCATACAAAGTCTCACCAGTGTTCAAGTCGTACTGGACCCAGGTAGCAGCAGCTGCATTGGCACGGGGGGGCCAAGCTAGCTACTGCTAGTCCAGCGCTGCCACGCAGCAACTGCGCCCGAGAAACTTCTACAGTCTCCATGGGTGTCGGTTCTTCAGGAGCTTCCAACTCTGTTGGCACCGCGCTAATGGGCTCCACTGTGGCTCGGCTCCGGACAAATCGTCGGAATCTAAATTGTCTTGCAATGGCACAAGCTGCTAAGCAGCAGCCAATGCCTGACGCGGTGGAAGCACTCTGGGTGCGCGATGCTTTGGGTTGGTCTACCCGGAGAGCTGAAGCGATCTTTGGCACTTTGTGCAAGGAGATTGGCAACAGCCATGCCGGCGCACACACTGCGAGAACTACGGCAGCCGTTGCCAACAAGCTCGGATGAAGCCGTGCTGTCATGGCTACTACCTACGGCTCTCTCACTTGAGCCAATCAGCTGAAGCCAAAATGGCTAGGGGCAAGAAAATCTATTCCTGACCAGATGCTGCTCTGGCTCATGATTTCGTGTCATGATGAAGGCTAGACAGTCGCGCTGTGCAAATCAGGCCCTTCGGCCACCTTCTGCCGAGCTGCTTCACCTTGTTCCGAAGGTAGGCACTGTAGCCTTCCACACCCCCGAAGGTCCCAAAGACTGCTGCCGCAGCCGCTGCAGCATCCTGTCCACTTTTAACTTTGACACCTGACTGACTGACTGACTGACCCCCTGAAAAATGACTTCAGCAAACTGCGGGATTTTGTTGCGACTGCTATTTTGGGATCGATTTAGCTAGGTCCAGTTGAGACTGATGGCCCGTCAGTTTGACCCCGACCTCCCCGAGCAAGAAGTCCCCTGCCCCACACTGCCCATTGGCAGCACAGCGAGCGAAATCTAAGAGCTCCTAGCAGTGCAAACGAGTCGAACTTAGGCTCTCAAGAACTGAACAGGGCTGAACCTCTCAGTGTTCTCTCTCACTCTTTCTCTTTCTTTCTTTCTTTCTTTCTTTCTTTCTTTCTTTCTTTCTTTCT